TGTGCATGTCGGGTCTGTCCCTATCGTGTCCATTGGATCCAAACTCTCAGACCTTGTTGTTGACGTTGGGTTCCCTCTAGATCCGCCTCAACCAAGGTGGCTCTCTCAACCAACTCACTATCCTCTTAGATCTTGAGAGCCATAAATTTCTCCCGGATGGAAGGCCTCAAACTCAAACTCTGCTCGAACCTCCTGGCCTTCTTTGCCTTGGTAGAGACATACTCTGTAGCATAGTAGGATAACTTTGCGAACATGGCCTCATATTGCGAAAAAGTCATATTATGCTGTCGTAGCTCCAAAAACGCAGCATTTATCTTGTCCTAGATGGACTGTGGGAAGTATTTCTAGTTGAATACTTGGTTGAATTTCGTCCAATTCATCTCATCCACATCTCTCATCCTTTTTACAGCATCCCTTCTGTGGTCAGCCTCCAAGAGGTAGGCTGTAAGTCTTACCAGTAAATCCTCGGCAATCCCTATGCTGTCCATCATTTTCTTTATGCATCGGACCCACTTGTTAGCCTCCATTGGGTTCGAGCTCCCCGAAAGGTGGATGCTGCCGCCAAAAGTCCCTTAACACCATCATCCTCTTGCTCTCATTTCCATTTGCCGGCCTTTAGCTAATGGCTGGACGACCTTGTTATGATTGTTATTCCCCTTTTGGTGTTGCACCGAGGTGGTCAGCGTCCTTAGACACAAGTAGACATAACTTAGTTCCCTTCACATTAAGAAGAACCCATGACAATCTCACACTAGGCATTGTGGATGGTCAGAGACTCTTCATCTATCGACTTGGAGCCTAGCAATTGGAGATGATTCCCTCTCTCTTGGTCTCAAGGTCACACTCTCTCTCTCAAGTAGTTGGAAACAATTCGTCTGCTTCACTTTTTTGGAATTTATGGGTCTATTCTCCTTTTTCTTTTGTTTTTGGGGGGGGTAAACCATTTCTTTCCTTATTGCTATAAAATTATTTCTACAATGTTATAAATTTTTAAATTTAAATTGCATGACTAGACCTAAATTTTATAATTTACTGAATGATTTTTTATTGCTGACAATTTTAAATTATTTATAATTAAATGAAATGTTGCAAGTAAAATAAAAATTCCATCATAAAAATTAATATACACGGTCATTTTACTCTAATTATGTTATTAAATATTTCCACTGAACATTAATACTGATAAATAAATTAGGTAGCTCCTTTATATTTCATTTTCAATGTTTAACGTGGTATGTGATTTATATTGAACATCTATGGAAATTGTTGGTTACATTTCTTAGAATTTTTAATAATTTTTTTAAAATTTTTTTTTGGGCCTTCTATCTAGCATTTTTTCCAGTATCGGTCAATATCATGTCGCGACGCCACAATTGATGTGTACTAATTCCCCATGAGTTAATGGTTGATATTGCAACGTTGAACCATGTAGTAGATTTGACAGCATCATTGATAATTGCCTGAGTCCAAAGAAGATGGCGGGCAAATTGGAGGAGAAATGGTCTTTTTTCTTTTCCTTTAGACAATCTATTTGTTAGTATCGTTAGCAGGTTCAATAGGATTGATTCTCTATCATTGACACTTTAAAAGTCAAAAGACAGACACAGAAGGAATAAATGTGAGAAGAATCAGTGATTGCTCTTTAGGAGTATTCTCCCATTGAAGAAAAGTTGGAGAATGGAGAAAATAGGACACATTTAAAGAATGTCACATCCATGGTCACAAACCTCTTCTCGACAACATTTCTACCCTTTTGAAATGGGGAAATTCCTTAGTAAAAAACAATGAGGAGCTCTTGTATCCAATTTATTCCTAGTAGGAGAGGGAGCATGAACACATTTGATGCAACCAAAAACGTGAGGAGTAATACCAAATGAGGGTGACAAGAAGGAAGATGCAGACGATGTCTTAATAGGTGCCTGAAAATTCAAGACTCTTGAAAGCATCCGGGCACGCGGCAGGAGGAGGGCATCACCCTAGTACTATAATGGGAGAATCATGGAAAACAGTAAGGCTGTGACAACTCTAAGAAGATATTGGTTCTTCCACTCAACGACACTAATTTTTTTTTTTGGTGTACCTGTGCAAGTAGTTTGATGAATCATGTTCTATTCAGTAAGATAAGATTCAAGATCTCTGAGAATGTACTCTCTTTATCAAAACGAAGAATCTTTATGGAGGTATCAAATTGAGTTAATACCATTTTGTGAAAGATCTTTAAGCTTGAAAAAATCACTTTCATGTTCTACAATATACCCAAGTTGCTCTAGAAAAATTGTCAATAAACCTAATAGACCTATAAATTCCAAATAGAGGAACAACATGATACTTGAAAGGGTAAATTTCATCCACATCCCCAGTAGATTGGTCTAACTTCAATGGCACACCATGTCTTTTTTGAAATTTCATTGCAGTTCCGTCTAGTTTATATGTCCACTTCATTTAGACCCCTTACTGTAACTGATCGTGACTAACAATCTATAAAGTGCTTATGTCATGCAAGTATTTTGGTTTAATTTAAAATTTATCCTTTTTTTCCAGACAAACTCCCCCCCCCCCCCCCCAAAAAAAAAAAAAAAAAAAAAAAGGCCTCCAAGTTCTCCTCCCACCCATGCGTGTAGACTTAAAGCAACCATCACCACCACCCAAACAAAATTCAAACCCTATTCAAAAGGCATCACAAAACTAACAACCCAATTTCACAATAACTCTATATTCATACATGCATGGTCATCATACTTTTTTTTCCAAGCACCAGACCATATCCTCTACCACCAGCTGGTCACAACACCATTAAAGACACACACACAAAGAGAGAGAGAGAGATAAATGGACTCCAATTCGAAATAGGTAGTGCCCCTAATCATCGCCTAAAATGAATACCCAAAAGTCGAATAAAGTGGCATCAACCAAGGCATTTAACCACCTTGGCAAAGACCACCAGGACAATAAACCCAACTATGAGCACCGCCCACCCGCCATTGAATTCAAATATTAGGGATTCATATGACTTTGAACAGATCAATACTCAAATAGGAATTACCATTATGTATAACCACCCTCCCTCCCTTAGAACCTCTGGCTTCCACCAGTGGCCACCTATTCCTCCTTCTCTCACACTTGGCGTTACAGTAATCACAAAGGGTTTCATTTTGCAAGTGGAGTCATTTTTGTGCTTGGGTTTTTGAGTGGCATTGGTGGCTTATGCGAGTGGAGGTGGTGATGTGGCGGTCTAGAGGTTTTCTGTGGTTTTAGATAAGCCGTGGTTATGAGATGGGCAATGGTTACGACATAAAATCGATAGATTAGGTATTCAATGAGGGGTAAAATAGATCAATAATTAGGTTTACCAATAATTAAAATAAAAATTAATTATCTTATACATACTTTATTATTCAATTTAGGGCAAATCTAGTTTACTCCCTTGTGGTTTAGTTGTTTTGCGCATGACCCCCCTATGATTTGGAAATCAGCTCATCACCCCCTTGTGCTTTTGGACCGATATGCACAATTAACATCGTAAACAGAAGTGTTAAAATGACTTTAGTACCCTCAACTATTCATCATCTTCTTCCTCCCTCTCAATTGTTGCGTTGCTTAATTTTCTAAAAAATTCACCAACCACCAAGTTTACAAACTTTTCTCTCTCTCCACAAAGCACCAAACTTCCTCGAGCCAATGACAATATCCTCTACTCTCCACCTAGTTTTAAACTCCACAAACTTGTTTCCTTAAATAGCCCCCATGACCCACGAATTTAAGCTCAAAGATGATCAGAAATTCATTTTGACATGTTATGTACATACCAGATTTTTTTCAACATTTGGGCAAATTTTGGCCTTTTAATTTTCTCCTCGTTTCTCAACCTTTTTGGGTGATTCAAATGCCTCAATTTAACCTATTTCTACCCTCTTTCCAACCATGTATTTAGTTTGTCTAGATCATGCACAGGGAAAGTGGAAATCGAGCTCCAAAGTGATGGGTTCATCATTTTAAAAAATTGTCACGATTTTTAATTCTATTTTTCACCTACCAAACCTCATTCTTTCTCGATTCTAACTTCAAAAATGGATTCCTTGACCCTAAAAATGGTGGATTAGGCCCTCCTTCACCTCCGAAACTCGAAATTTTGAATACCCTAAAATTCAAGCTTCAAACTTAAGCAAGGGTTTTGATTTTCTCTCACTATACTCCACGGCCACTAAAGAAACTTTAGGAAATTGTTACTGAATATGAAAACAAGCTTAACCTACCACAGAATTGTGGATGATGCCTTGTAGCAAAAATTCTCTTTGCTCAGGTTTTACAATATTACCCATTTGCAAAACACAAACTCAAACCCCCAATCACCCTAATCGAAACAAGGATTCTGGACGATCAGAGATGGAAGCAACTTGTCGAAATTCGTGAGGTGAATCCTTTGTTTCCTATTAGTCTTTGTTGATCTCTGTTATTACTGGTGTCTTGCTTGGTTGATTGAACTTGGCTTTGAAGTGGTGGCAATGGTGGTGGTGCACAATTGGGTGGTAATTTAGTGGAGTGCACAGAGGTTGTGGCAATTTGTGTTGTTGCACAGTAGGAATGGTGGAGGTAGTGGTGCTATTGGGCGACATAATTGGAGAAAAAATATGAAAGTCAATTGCTTAGGAAAATAAAGATTGAATTGGGTATTATTGTACTTTTATTGTGTCTATTTTTGAAAGGAAACACGTTTCGTTATGTCAAACCTCCTATTAGGCGCGTGTATGTCACAGATGGTCTAATCTAACGGAAAAACTAACTGTAGCATTTTAGTCCAAAAGCACAAGGGGGTAATGTGTTGATTTCCAAATCATAGGGGGTAAACTGGATTTTGCCCTTCAATTTAATTATAAATATAATTTAATTTTTTTTAAAAAATATTATTATTAAATATGTTCATGTGCAACACACATCGTACTAGTGTGTGTGTGTGTGTCTATATATAATTTAATAGAATAGTTAATATGTGAATTTGTAGAATGGTTAGCGATAACTTGGTAAAATAGACATTTCTGTTACTTCCGTTACCAACGTTACCAAACAAGGCAACTAGTGTTAAGGAAATTTCAGAAAGGCAAGGGGTGATGTTGAAATTAGGCCTATCTATTGGGGTTGTGGATGAAATTTACCCTACTTACAATTGGTTTCAATAAAAAACTCAGATATGGACCTTTAAAGCATCTGCAAAACAAGCAGCCTGAAAATTCTAGTAGTGATCTAACTAATGCGATAGAGCTCGAAGAATGTGAGATTAAGCAATGGGAGACCTATCACTCTGTGAGCTATTATGGATTTGTTGTCTTAATTTGTAAATTTGAGCTGTGTTTCTCACCTGTTAATGGTCTATGTGATTGCATCCCAAATTTTTTCTGCAGTTCGCAAAAATAAGTATCTAATTCCCAAGTTTTATTCTCGTTTAATGTAACGGTCAAGACATAGTCGTTGAATTTTTGCTTCTACTTCTGAATTAAAGAGTCATCCTTTGCTGATTCTTTAATCTTACCATTCAAGTATCTGATATTTCCTCGACTTCTAATAAAGATAAACGAAGATTGAGACCAAACCAATTAATTATCCTTGTCCAATTTTACAGTAGTAATTTGGGGAGTGGGGATATGTTTCCAATTTGACCCTCTACCCCTTTTTGTTGGTGTTAGGTAGGTTATCTTCTGGCATGTTGGTACACGTTCAAGCACATATCTGCTGATTCCAATCACACCAAAATAGGGCAAATAATTGAAAGGAAAAATCAGGAGAGAAAAAAGCCATAGCCTCAGGTTCATGTTAACAATGATTGAAGAGTCCTGGACGTGAATATTATCATAAAAGACACACACTGCAGTGTTACTTTTTTCCCTTTAATACGTTCTAATCTTTCTGGAAAACCTGTAGGTAAAATTTATTACCTTAATTCGGAGGTCTTTGGTCCAGTTTCATGCAAAAAATTGCATTGAAAAATGCTTGGGAGTGAAATTCTCAGAAGTAGTCCCAAAAATTTAATAGTTAAAACCAAATAGGAAATGATCCTGAGATCAACCCTTGCCGCCACCCTGATAAAATACTTGCACGTGTTGGACCATTCATAGAAAGAGCTTCTGGCCACTCGTGAGAGGGTGTGTTGAGAGTACAAAATAATAAAGTTACACTCCCTCTAAGCTTAAGCTTTTAGAGTGGATGGTGTTCGTAACTTTATTCAAAAGATTCTAGTTGCAAATATTCCCCCCAATTCTTAGGTTATCAATCTTTGCCCTACTTATGTTCCACACAATCTGTAGTTATATTCCATGCATAGGAGGATAATATTTTTTAAACATGATGAATTGATATTATCTGTTTTGCTCCATTCATTTATTTTGTATAGTGACAAGGGAGTAGTGTACTCTGCTCGGGCCTATAAAATTCCAGAATGCACTCGAGCTGCTGCTGGCACACCACTGGTCCAAGTATGCATTCCCAACACCTAAGAGAATTGTTAGTTGTAATCTTTTCCTTATCTGCTAATCATTTGATGCTGGATCCAGATTTTGTCCTTATCTGATGGTGAGAGAATAACTTCCATTATTCCCGTGGGAGAGTTAGCTGCAGACCAGTATCTTATAATGCTTACTGTGAATGGCTTCATCAAAAAAGTTTCTTTGAACTATTTCTCATCAATCAGATCAACAGGAATCATAGCAATTCAACTGGTTTGTTTCTTTCTCCTCGCTATGGTCTTTGCTTGGTGAATATTACATAAAATATAGCTTAAACCTGATATGCCTAAAGTATTATTTATTTATCTGCTTGTTCATATCTGAATATTTGTGTACCTATTTATCTGGGTATGTATGTATGTCTGTATGTAAGAATGCTTGTATGTGATATACATTATTTTTTTTTTCTTTTGAGCCTATTATGTTTACTTGGCAGGTTCCTGGTGATGAACTAAAATGGGTTCGTTGTTGCACAAATGAGGACCTTGTGGCCATGGCTTCACAAAATGGGATGGTTATTCTAAGTAGTTGTGAGATTGTAAGAATTCTTCTCATGCCTTTTCTCTTATAATTAGGTGATTATACTGATAAGACCTAACTCAAATTTGTATGATTTGCACAAAGGCCATTTTTTTGTAGCAGCGACAATATCAAACAAAGAATTGTGCCCTTGCTTCAGTGTTTAATTATTATTTTTTTGCAATTAATACTTTCTTGTAATAAATGTGTGCATTCAAAGGCAATAAATTATTCATAGCACACAATAGGACCAAGCTTGTAGCATTTGGAAATTCAGTTTTATGTTCTTGATTAAAGTAAAAAAGAAAATAATTACGTGCCAAGGATTGTTGATAGTTGTGGGAATCTAGACTGGATGATATCAGGAGTCACCAAATTAATGGCTTTGTTTCTTAACTCTGATGAATTCACATGTTTAACTTTTTAGAGATTGAGGGAATTTTTGCTACCCCTTTTTTTTCCTTTTTGCTATTTTAGTTTAATTGGACTAGAAGATCACAATGAACCTAGATCACTCTCTCTCTCTCTCTCTCACTTTTTGTGTGTGTGTTTCTCTGTTTGTCTTTGCCTTCTCTACAAACCTTGAGATCGTATTTTTTAGCTTCCATACACAATTGCTGCTGGCCCAGATAGCATCATTATATCCAAAGCTTGATCATAATAAAACCCAAGTTCTTATTTCTCGAAGAATGTATGATACGAGGGTTTGGTTAAGGTTAAAGTTTAGCGAGGGTAAGCTACAAACGCTAACTCCTTGTCTAAGTCAACGAATCAAAAGACTTAAAAACTCTATGTTATGGCTTCTCAATTGATAAAGTGTGAAACTTAGTGTGTTGTACTACAATATAATGTTGTATGAATTCAAAGAATTATACCTACTCAAGGAGAGAGCAAAGCTTTAGAAGATCTGTTTCAAGGCTTCTGGCTAAGGCTTTCTAGGATGGATGGGCAAAATGTTTTGATTAGCCTCATACAACCGATGAGGGGGAAGTAACACCAGGATTTTGTTTTGAGAAATCAGCATTGTCACTTTGTTGGAAAACTTAATTGTAGGAACTACATTGCAATACTAAAAATTGCTTCTAATCGTGTACTAGAATTCTTCCCTAAAAATAATATTTGCCCTCATCAATTGTTTAGAAAGGTGCACCAAGAATTCTGCAAATTTGTTAAGATACAATGAAACTCCTCAAAGCTGTGTAATAACTCAAACCTATCTGTGTATTACACTTATGAAGACAATACTCAAATACCTTCAGGAAATCAATTAGGCAACTTATAGTATTCTAACTATGCCGAAATTTGAATACTAAATTGAAAAGAAAAGAATGGTTGAATGTGAATTTGAGAGAATAGAGAGCAATTCTAGTAGTAACTAGTAAGTATAAAATTGTTCAAAGATAAACACTGCTAGGGGTGGAGCCAGGAATTTATATGTGGGGGGCACTAAGTTTAAAAATTTGCATTCTTAAGGATTAAAGTTAAAGACAAATAAATTTTTTAAATCATATATAATACCTAAAATTTCATTGACAAAAGAGCCAAAAACCGATATACATGGGGTACAAAAACAAAAAAAAAAAAAGGGCAAAACAAGGTTCTAATTAGACCCTTTACAAAAAATGAGACTAACTACCTTTTACAAAAAATGAGACTAATTATAGTGTTTTACAATCGACCATGGCGTGATTTCATATTTTGAAAGCATTGCATGATAACATCATTATTAATGCAGTCGAAAATGTCCATCTCTATGTATACAATCAAGTTATTTGTCATCCATTGATTGTCCATTCGATTACTCAATCGATTTTTCACAATCTTCATAGTCGAAAATGCTCTCTGTATTGTGGCAGTCGCAACTAACAAGATCAATGTCAATGTCACAAATAAGTAGACTAATGGATATACCACGTGTTTTTTTGTCTCAACTATTTTCTGAACAAGATCTCCAATCTTTAACAAATTTGAAAACTCAATATTAGAGCACATATCAATAAGATAACTATCCAGCTGATTAGAAAGTATCATGAGTTCTAGTGAAGAAAATTCTTTTAGATAAAATTGGGTAAGACGAACCAATTTTCTCTTGTCAAAAGTTAAGAAGGAATCAAAAGGACTCAAACATGCCACACAGAGAAGTAAATTAGTGTTTGACTCTATAAAACGACTATTTAGCTCTTGAAGTTGCATATCTATGACAGTATAAAATAACTCAACTTGATAGCGATGCAAATTTGTCTTTTCTTGAGTACGTCTTGACCTCTCTCGAGCTATCGTCCGTCTCTGGAACAACTATATCATGTTTTTCACAAAAATATATGACATCATCCAGAAAACAACTCCAACCAATTTCTCTCATCATTTGAAGTCGTTGTTTGGATACTTGAATTAATGTCATGACATTCACAAAATCTTGATATTTCTTTTGTAATGCCTACGACAACTCATTTGTGATGCTCAATATGCTTCTCATCAAATGAAAGATTGAATACAAACTCAAAAATTTGTAGCAAGTCCAAAAGAACATTTGTCTTCCCTCTTTGTTTTGCATTTATACCATCTTCTGAAACCATATCCAGCACATCAATCACTAATGAGAGCAAATCACTCAAGTTGATCAAAGAATAATAATGTGAACTCCACCGTGTATAACAAGTACGTGTAAGATTAGTTTCCTGATTTAGGCCTTGTCCACTTGAAAGCTCATTATCGACTAATTTAATAACTCTAGTCGCTTATTTTTTCCTAAGAATATCTCGCTGTTTATATGAGGCTCCCACAACATTCACAATATTAGCAAGGAAGTTGAAAAGAGTTGCGATTTGAATGTGATTCTTTGTGACGGCCACAAGAGCTAATTGCAAATGATGCGAAAAACAATAGACATAATATGCATATTTATTTTCTTTCATTATAAGTATCTTAAGACCATTGAACTCATCTCGCATATTACTAGTTCCATCGTAACTTTGGTTGTGCAATCGTGACAAGCTCAACTCATGTCTAGTAAATAAATATTTTACAGATGCCTTAAGTGACAGAGCACTAGTATTAGTAACATGTTCAAAACCTAAAAGGTGTTCAACTACATATCCCTTCTTGTCCACAAATCACAACACAACAGCTATTTACTCTTTTGTTGATATGTCACGTGATTCATCAATAAGAACAGAAAAAAGTGCATTACCAAGGCGGGTCACAATAGTATTACACGTTTCAACAGAAGTTGCATTTACAATGCCTTTTTAAATTTCAGGCGAAGTCAACTTGAGATTCTCAGGAGCGTTTTTCAACACAACAACTTTAATATCTTCATTGTGATCAGTTAGAAATCTAAGAAATTCAAGGAAGTTTCATTAATTACTTGAATTCTCAAATTCATTGTGATCACGAAATGTGAGTGCTTGCCTTAGAAGAAATCGAATACAATCAATGGATGCATTCAACCGGATTCTATATTTACTTCGAGCTTGGTCTGACTGTTTGAAGAAAGTAACTTCAATACTTTGCTTTGGATTTAATAAATCTTGACATTTTCTCCAAGTTTGATTATGAGAACTATTAACGCCTCCAACATGCATTTGGAACTTCTCTATTCTCTTCCAATTTGAAAAGCTCAAGCTAACAAAGGTTTCGCTACCCGATTGTTCTCCTATATCTAATTTAAAAAGATAATAGCACAAGCAAAATGCTGCATCTTTTGCTGTACTATACTCAAGCCAATTACCAAACTGAGAAAATCAACCTTTGTTAAACCGCCGTAGTTTAACACCAAATTTTTTTTGTGAAAAATTATGGTCGTGGGGTTGACAAGGACCTTTTTGTAGATAAGCTTTATGAATTTGGTCTCGATCATTAGGATTATAATTCATAATCCAAGGCCGTAGTCCAGGATCTGATGAAAGATCCGCCAAATTAATATCTACATGATTTTTCTTTGAAGAATCACCACCTCTGTTTGGAGGAGGTAATAACTCTGACTCAGACTTTCTCTTGAAGTATTTCTTCATAACTGTTTCAAAAAATTATTTTAAGAAAATGGATTTATATATCCACTTTTACAATTAATTAAACAAACTATTTTGTCAATTTTATCGCTACCATTCTAAAGATTATATTGTATTAGGAAGCAAATATAAGTACAAATGCATAAAAGTATTCAATTCATAGTTTTAATAATTCTAAGCAATATCATTCAAAGTATTAAAAATAGGTTCGGATTGAGAGTTATCAAAAAATACTTTTTACTGTCGACTCAATAACCGCAACTAAATGTCTTCACGGCATCCCCAATTACTAATTTGGGCTACAACAAATCAACAAAATAATTAAGGTAAAATGCATAAAAATTCAAATAAGGGCAAAATGCACAAAAATATAAATAAGGGTTAAAAATTAAAATACACAAAAAATTAGAAATTTACCAAGACTAATTAAGTCAAAATTTTAAAAATAAAAAATTAATTTATTTTGTGTGTTGTGCGTACAGTGTAGTGTGCGCGTGTGTGTCGTGTGCGTGTGGTCATCGAGAGAGAGAGAGTGAGAGAGAATACATTTATTTTGTTGGTGGTGGTCCTGTCTCAATGCAAGGAACTGAACTTTCCTCTCTATTTTTTCGTGTGTTCTTTACTCTCTGTTTCTTCTGGTTGGACCGTTGAGAATGAGTGAGACAAAGAGAAAAAAAAAAAAAAAAAAAGGAAAGATACTAGATAAGATAGGTTTTAGTCAAGTGGGCCAAATGCTTTGTTTGGTGGGTAGGTTAAAAGTTTTGTTTTTAATGTTGGGTCAAATGTTTTATTTTTTTAATAAATTTGGGTAGATTGTAATAGGTCAAATATTTGATTTTTTAATAAATTTGGGCAGATAATGGTGGACTCAAATTTTTTTGTTTTAAATGGGCTTAATTTTTTATTTCTTTTGGGTAAATAATGTGGGCCTAATATTTTTATTTTGAATTTTGAGTGGACACAAGTAATATATTATATAAATATATAATATATATATATCTAACTAATAAAAAAAAAATTTGAGGGGGGGGCACTTGCCCACCCTGGCACATGCCTCCCTCCGCCCCTGGACACTACCTATTTATAGACTCAGTAGTGGTTTTTCAAAAAGGGTGCAACAATTTGACATGATGTATTTTAGTTCAAAAGTTATCAATGTTGACTTTATGGAAAAAGTATGACCATTTGAAATGGTGCTTTTTAGTCCAAGAGGTATCAAAGGTGATTTTATGGAAAGTTGTAACCATTTGTAATTGTGTATTTTAACCAAAAGGTTGTAATCATTTAGATTGGTGTCTTTTAGCCAAAAGTCACTAACTTTGAATTAATAGCCTGTCTTGTCATTTTGACTTCACCCTTTTCCAATTTATCCCGAAAATTACAAAGAGTTTTTTAATAATAAACTCACAAAAAAAATTTTATTTTTAAAATATTTTAACATTTTGCGCCTTTGTTTTGCTCCCCCTGCACGGGAGATCTCTTCCGCAGCTGTGGTCTTCTCCAACTGGAATTTGAACCTCAAGTATTGAGGACCCCCTTATCAGCATTTTTCTTGCAATAACTCATCATTTTATCTTCCCCCCCCCCCCCCCTGCGAAAAAAAAAAACCCAAAAATCCTGTTTTGTACCAAAATAATGACTACCAACATTAGCAAATACTTCACTGATGATTGCTATGTTTGAATCCATTCTAAGAGTGAATGTTCACAAGAGAAACTAGGTGTTGCTAGAGCGAAGTGGTGCTGAGAAGCTCTCAATGGCGACATTCCGTATTTAGACATTCTGCAACTGTTCATTTGTTAAAAGATTAAGTTTGAAATGGAACCCTTGTCAGTTTTTAATTGGGAAAATGCCAAATAATTAGCTTTTAAAGTGCAACACGCAAGTGACATCATGCAAATATCAACTTTTCTTGAGACGGCCGTTTATTTTTCCATTTCTTACATAACTGTAACATTATTTTATTGTCTGTTCAGCTTTTGCTTTCTCAAATCCGGAAAGAATGAAAGGCCTTTGAATTATTGAGGAGTTACGTATGAATGATTATTGTGATTCCTTGCGGACTAAGCTTGAGCCTATCAAGGCTCAGTTTGTTCATCCAACAAGTTGGAGGGATTGAGTTCAGTGTATTACTAAATAAATGAGCCTGAAAAACCCAAGGCAAATCCAAGCTCGAGCTGTTCATGAACTTCACCATGTCTTTTGCAGCCCTGCTTGAAAGTACTTTACATAAATAAGATAATCATTTGCCTTTAGGAAAGGAAGAATTGAAGTACTTCACAATAATATTGCTGTGAAGCCTGCTTTTATGCATCTCAAGATATAATTCTGCTTTTTATAAATCAGTTGCATCAACGGTAAACCTGACTTACCGGAAAAAAGGTAAACCTGATTCATATGCAGTAATCCAATGGCTCCATCCAGCTTAGCAACTCTTGAGATCCTTGTATGAGGTGGAACATCTTTATATGACTGCTCATTGGACTGCATTTAGATGCTCGATAGGAATGTGTAAACACAACTCGAAAAAACATGGTACAGAAACCGGTGTGAGTGCATATCGTGAACTGCATCATCTATTGCATTACTTAGATTTTCTTGGAAGCTTTAAATAGTTTTATTGGTCCATACTAACTGTTCTTTTAGCTGTAGCCATTGTTACATCAGTTACCTTACTGTGCTGCAGGTCATTTGGTAAACTGTCACTCTATATTCTCCCAACTATATGTTATCTAATAACTGCCATGGCTATTTGGCTTAGATTCGAGCTCTAGGGAGAAATACAAGAGGTTCAATTGCCATGAAACTGAAGAAAGAAGATAAAATGGCAAGCATGGACATAATACCAGCAGCCATGCGGAAAGAGTTGGAGAGGGTCTCAGAAGGTCACCATAGCCAGTAATTACTTAACCATTTTTATTTTCATAATTCAGCAAATTCTCAAACCATTTTCTACAAATCAGAAAATTCTCAACCATTATCGTGGATATTTGCATACTGTGACTGATATTAAGTTCTGAATTGTTAGTTTACGATGCTTCATGAATGGTTTCAAGCCAACATTGTTAGTAATTTTAAAATACTCCTCGAGGCATTTGCTGTCTCTGGTTATGAGTACTTTAGTCCCTTATATCATTATTTCCTTATGGTGGTCAAAATCTACCCTATACTTCATTTGTTAGTCCAGGATATGGAGTAATGTGGAACGCTTTACAGGCTTATTGTCCTTGTTCCTTTTTTTTATTTTATGTTGTTCTTTCCCTCCAAATTGGATGCTGGACATTGGTTATGCACAATTACTGTCAAGTAAAATTACATTCCAACATGCCTCAATCTGCAATTAATTGACTTCCTTTTGGAACAGGGATAAAAGCCTGAGTGGTCCGTGGTTGTTGTTTGTGTCTGAAAGTGGTGTTGGAAAGCGAGTTCCTCTTAGCAGGTTCCGCATGTCATCTCTAAGAAAAGTTGGTTTAATAGGTTACAAGGTACTCTAGCCATTTAATTACTGCCTCAGTTCATAATAACTCCCCTCCCCTCCCCTCTTCCCCTTCGAGGGAAAGAAAGGAAAGTTTTTTTTCTGTCTCGTCTCTTTTCCTTTCGGCCATATCATTTATCTGCCATCTATGTTTTAGTTCTCTGCTGAGGATCGCCTGGCTGCGGTGTTTGTAGTTGGGTTTTCATTGGCAGGTAACGTTGTGCTGTAATTTGTTTGGAGCCTTTTCTGGTGCATGTGGGAATGCGTTAGTTACTCGTATTAACTATGCTCCTGAATATTTTGAACAGAAGATGGTGAAAGCGATGAACAGATTGTTCTTGTAAGCCAGAGTGGAACTGTCAACAGAATAAAAGTTCAAGATATTTCTATACAGTCGCGCTATGCAAGGTGTGTCTAACCTCTTTTGCTTTCTTTCTTTCTTCATTATTTCTACAGGGGAATGAAGGGGGTGGGGTAAATGAAAATTGAATAATTAATATTTTCCTCTTTGGATTATAAGAGAAGTGGTTGCTTATCATCCCTTAATGTTTTAAGGAACTCATTGTTGGAACAGTAGTCCTAAGAATCATTGACTACATGTATAATTGAATATAAAAAAAAAATTATTCATCTTTTAACCCTATAAGGCAGAATTAGGGTTACCTCTTGAATCATGAAAAACACGAACAAAGTCTAATGCAGATCGAACAACCAGCTTGATGGACCTCACGATCTTCTATCGTATGTCCTTCTCGACGCTAAAATCTGAATGCAGGGATGCAATCCTCCGAATTTTCTCCCTGCTCTCTGTCTTTGTCTTTGCCTCTTCTAAACGTGAAGGTAATGATTATGGCTAAGAGTACAAGCGAGGACGTCTATTTATAGGCTACAGTAGAAACTCTAAGGAAAATAAGGGGAGTTTCTAATAGATTTAGGAATCCTATGTCAAACTCAGAACAAACATCTTACGGTCTATTAATAATAAGTTAGTCCACTAAAAGTTTATTATTGATCTTCCGTGCCTTATCTCAAAATTATATTTTGAATTTCTTGTTATTATATTCTTAATAATATCTCCATGTTTAAAATTAATGATGTCTTTCAATTAATTAAATTATTGACAACTATATTTAACTGACTTCTTTTTATTCTTGAGATTTTATCACTCAACTTATTTGTCATGTCGAATAGTTAAATTCATCTGCTGGGTTTGACATGAACAAAACTTATGAGTTTACTCAAGAAGACATCATCAATCCATTTAAATATCAGGATATGGTATTCTTTAATAATTAATTTTCATCATACAAATAATGTCATCTCCCAATTCACCAAGTTTGTTAACTCAAATATGAATCTCGCTCTTTGATGAATTAAAGTAATAATCATTATATGCACGTGTTAATTATCTCAGGAGTAAGAGCTTAAGCAATTATAATAATTATGAGGTATTTATTTTCTTATTTAGTCAGTAAAAAGATAATAATCTCAATAACAATCATCTTCAATACACAAAATGTACTATTGCAACAATATGAGACATCAGACAGTCTCTTGTAGCCAAGACAGATTATGCTAGAAATTGCATTACAATTAAGGTGTGTCCAATTTCATCTAAGACTGAATATTTACTCATATCATAAAAAGATCCGATAATCTGATCTTCTGTGTATAAGTTGAACTCTACACACCAGATTATTTACAATGTAAAATAAAAGATCCGCATGCATACCATATATTTAATATAATACAAACCCTTTACCCACACAAATTTTCATTGAAATAGGAAATGAAGAACTTTTATTAAATAATAAGTTGAGTTTCACTACAAAAAGTAAAATTTTAATATATTACTCTATCACTCATGTCAAACATGCACGATACTTTGCATAGTTGTTGAGACAATGATTGAGACATTGTCCCATCCTCTTAGATTTCGTGCAAATTTAGTATCTGGGTGAACTCTTCTCTGAGCGACTGCAAAATTAATTTCTTGACAAAAATGATTATGTTTTGGCTCTCCTATAGCAGACCATGCCTTTTATCATTCGCTTGTGGTTGCAGTGATTATATATGGTATTAAAGAAAACAGTGTGCTTCATCATCGATACTATCTCATTAAATACGTAACCAAGTAGCGAGGAGGAACTGTTCATTTGTTTCCTTTAGGAACTATGAAGCTTGCTATGTTTTAAGTTGCAGTTGTTGCCAATTTTTACTTGTAGAAGGGATTTGTTTCCCAATAATGGTCTTGTGTTACCATTATCCAGGATGACATTGCTTGCTTCACCATAAAAATTCGACTTCACTTTGGGTGTTGGCATGATTGGACTCATTTTTTTTATGCTTTGGAGACATCATCTACTTTTCGACTCATACTGTGTTAGCTCTGATGTCCCCTCATCAGGTTCAACTTCATTCAGTTTCATTCTTCTTTACATGCATGTTTATCTTAAGTACTTAGAAACCTTGGGTTGGTTTGCTCCTTTCTACTCACTTAAGAGCTTTCACCTTTGCCGCTCTGAGCTCCAAACTTGTGGCTTGTGGCTTGTGGCTTGTGGCCTCCTTTCTTTTTCATCCTATCAGGAGCACCACGTCTCTTTGTCTTGCTTGACGATAAAATTTGCTGATCAATTCATTAGCCTGTTTCCTTGCAGCTCAACTTCCAGCCCAAGGTTCTTCTCACCCTCCAATGCCAATTGCCAAAGGCCAAAGGTTGAATTACTGAGCTACCCCACCTAATCCTTAATGGATTTGCATAACCTGAGAGATAAGATGTCCTCTGTTCGCTATTCTTATTTAAATAATTCTTGTGGATGGAAAGTTAAACTCTGAGGTGCCTGCTTCCATCAACAATCTCATTCGACCTATTTAGTAGATGAGAATTGTTTATGCATCTTTGCTCTTGTGCAGTTACATCTATTTCCCTTGCTCAAAAGTGTTCCATGCTTTTCCATCATTGTCTTCTGTTATGGTGTAACCTTCATGAATAGTCCCGTTCTCTGTTCTTGGGGTTTCACTTAAAATTGTTTGAAGTGCTTCATTATGTAGAAGCAATCTCTTATTTCATCCCTGCACCATCTAATTTAATGCTCGTACCAATCTCTGTGCAATCCAGCGTCACATTGAGTTCCCTTTGAAGACACTCACGCCACTTCTTTGTCCTCAAGACTGACCATCAGGTTGCAATTGCTTTCTCCTCTTAGGTACCTCCATCCAAGCTACACATGTTCCTTCACCTAAATGGCTTTGGTTTGGTTGCCTCTTTCATGTCCTCCTTGTGATACAGTCATCTAGATGGATGAAATTTGATCTGCCAAATTGGTTTGCTAAGAAAAAATTGCATTTGTGGAGAACAACAAAGAACTTGACAATATAAGTTGGGAACCGTGACTAGATTGTCTAGGGTTTTCAAAAGACCCGACAGTTTCTTCTTTTGTCTTGGTGGCATAGTAAATTCATACTAAGATACTGAAGCTGGGAAAGTAAACCTGGAGTCCCACATTTAACGGGGATAAGTGGGTGCCCTGAAAACAACATACAGATTGAACTGAGGTGGGATTCATAATGCATATTGAATTTGACTCTCTCTCTCTCTCTCTCTCAGGGGAGTTATTTTGATGCGGCTTGAACATGCTGGTAAGATTCAGTCCGCTTCCTTGATCTCAGCAACAGAAACCGAGCCTGAAGAACTTGAAGCTGTTGCTGTATGAAAGTTGCTTGGCATCCGTTAGGATTGGAGAATGCCTTTACAGCAATGTAGTGTAGCCATTTTTTTTTCTTTATTTTTTTTTTTTGTAAAGCTGGGAAAATTCAACTGTTGTACATGTTGTATTTTGCAGGTATTTCAAAATACAGTATTTGTTTTATGTTTTTCACCTTTTGAGATACTATTATTTATCTGTGCTAATTCCAATATCTTTTGTTTCAATCTGTGTTTCAATGACTGGTGAGTCATAGTAAAGTGGCCATCTACAAACATGTGGAAGCTATTGTTGGAGAATCAATGGTAACCTAGAGAGAGAGAGAGAGAGAGAGAGAGAGAGAGAGAGAGAGAGAGAGATTATTATTTCATCAACATGGGTGGTCAATATTGACACTTTTTTGTAAAAAATCCGTCAGGTGATGATTCAAACGGTGTGATTTTTCTGCTTCTCCTGATATTCCTTTTCCTATAAATTTCTTTCAAATTCTTATTTTTACAATCAAAATAAAAAAAAAAATCAGTGAAATGGTATGAAATGCAGAGAATATAGACGATTGTCAATGACCATTAGCATAATGTGATCCAATTGTGAGAGTAATTTTGAATAAGCTGACTCTAAAATTAGAGCATGATGCCTATTCATTATGTTTGATAACTCATTTAATATAGATTTAAATACTTCAACTGAATGTATGAGCCCATCTTTTACAGATTTGACTCATTTTCGGTGAAAATAATGTGACTGAGGCATGTGATACTCATGTTTTTTTTTTTTTTATTTGTACTTGTGAATTTTGACATAGGGAGTTGAAACTAGACGTGAAATTTAAGGATTTGATAGGTGTAATTGATTGTTGAGGAAATAAATAGAAATTAAGTGTAAACCTTAAAGTATAAATTATGATTCACCTATAAAAATTTATACTATTCGGAGTTTATATGCCTGCGAGGATAAGTTTTGGCGTGGTGGTAAGATAGGTTTAAACACAACATAATTTGAGCGTTGACAGTTTAAGTCGATGGATGTTGTATCTGTTATGGAAAATTAAGTATATAATTAAATTATATTGAATTATATGAAGTCTAACTTATTCAATAACAAAAATAGTACACTTATAGTGACACAGATCTGTATGAACAATAAATAAAATACCAGAATTTTAATCTGAGCATTGTGAAATACAATCTCTTTAAAACAGATTTGTTCTTTTTCGGTGCTCAAGGTCAATGAGCAACTATCTTCAAAGATGTAACTGATTTTACGTTCTTGAAAAAATTGTACTTCAATCTTTAAGACTACAGTAAACATAACTTGTGTTTATATTTGAACCGAACCAAAAGAACAATACAACAATATGTAGAGAGAGAAGAAATTTTGAAATTGGAATCCAGAATGGGATGGATTGAAATGACAATGAGGCAGTCTATTTATAAACTCTTCATGCCTGTTCGAATCACCTGAAGATTCACAAGATGCCTTTGTTTGGATTGAAGAGACACCCTCAATCTGAATAGAAGCAAAATAGAAAGACACCTCTATATTGGACAGACACAGAATGAACCTCTGCAGAACAGACTCTGGAGCCAAAATCAATTTAATAGGCAAAAATTTAAAAATCTAGTTAGACTTTTACATTTCAGTTGGAATATGATCTGCGTTTGGATCCGTTTGGTTTGAACCATGACCCGCATTGCTCCAAACAAATTTTGTCCAAAAAGAACCCGAGCTCGGCCAAGTTGGGTCATGGCGAGGCGAGGTGAGATGACGTGGAAGGGCGACACGCACGCATGTGTGATAATCAAGGTAGTGTAGGTGTTCACTCCTCTTACAAAAGTGTAGTACCCCTTGAGGTCCAATCCATTAAGTGAACTAAGATTCTATTAACTCTCTAAAGTATTGGTCTTCTTCCAATATGGGACAAGCTTTATTTCACTACACCAATATTAGTTTTATTTCATCACTTCAAATAGGTCACTTTGAGACATAACTTTTCATTCAAATCTTAATTGTTTTGGACAAATAAATATACCATGTTAATCCTTGCAGAGGAAAATGCGTTTAAACTTGCTCACACCAATTTCAAGGTGTGGATCCCACTTTTATTTAAGCCTCAAGTTGCTCAAATAAACTTGATTAGGTGTGGACGCTGGTTCAAGACAAGTGAAAGGTTACTACATTAAGATAAGTAGCCAATGACCCTGAACTAGTAACTTACCCTAGTTCTCGCGGCAGATGTGCACTATCTCATTATAGGAATGGGAGGAGTATAGAAAATCTCTTCAGTGCGTACTGAGTTACACATAATTCGGTTGTTCCTTTCAACTTAGATCTTGGGATCTTCAGTTAGCTAAGTTGGGTTGCCATTATGGTGACTCTTTGTTAAGTAATAGGCTTTAAGCTCATTCTACTTGATGAATTTTTCACTTGCTCTCTAGTCAAACCTTTTGTAAGCGGATCCACAATATTATCCTTTAACTTCACATAGTCAGTGGATATAATACTATTAGAGAGCAGTTGTCTAATGGTATTGTGTCCACGACATATATGTATAAACTTACTGTTATACATACAATTTTGTGTCCTTCCAATCGTAGATTAGTTATAACAGTGAATACATATTGTAGGCACAGGTTTTGGCTAATTTGGAATATGCTCTAGGAAGTTACGAAACCATTCTGCTTCTTCTCCAGCTTTATCTAAGGCAATGAACTCGATTTCCATTGTAGATCTAGCAATACAAATTTGTTTTGAGGATTTTTAAGACACGCCTACACTACCCAAAGTAAAGACATATCTATTCATAGATTTTGAATCTTTAGTATTGGATATCCAATTATTATAAGTATATCCCTCGAGTATTGCTAGGTACTTCGTGTAGTGCAAACTATAGTTTTGAGTATGTCTTAAATATCTCAAAACTCTAATAATTGCTTTTTAGTGGTCTTTTTCTGGGATTACTTGTAAATCGACTTAACTTACTCACTGAGTATGCTATATCTAGATGGGTACAATTCTATGTATATTAAACTACCAATTATATGTGCATATTCTTACTGTGATATGCTATTACTCTTATTCTTACTCATAGGTTTTATCTCATACCTCTTGAATTTATCAAGTACTTTATCAATTAAATGAGATTGAGATAACACTAGTCCATCTAACGTTCTAAAAATTATAATTCCTAATATAATGTCAACAACACTTAGGTCTTTCATTTCAAACCTATTTGTCAACTGCCGCTTGGTAGATTTAATGACATTGTTATTTGTGCCTATAATTAGCATGTCGTCTACATAAGGACATACAATAACGTATTCACTATGAGTGCTCTTGACATATATACATTTGTCACACTCATTTATTTTGTACTCATTTGACAACATTGCTTTGGCAAATTTTTCAAGCCACTGCTTCGGTACTGATTTTAAACCATACAGAGATTTCACAAGCTTGCATACTTTCTTTTCTTGTTCATTAACAATGAAGCCCTCAAGTTGTTTCATGTATATTTTTTTCATCTAATTCACCATTTAAGAATGTTGTCTTTACATCTATTTGATGTATTTCAAGACTATTCAATGCAATTATAACAATTAACATTCATATTGAAGTAATTCTAGTAACTGGTAAATAAATGTCAAAATAATCTAATCCTTCTTTTTGTTTATATCCTTTGGCTACAAGTCTAGCTTTGTATTTGTCAATTTGGATCCATCAGCTTTCATCTTCTTTTTAAAGATCCATTTACAGCCTAAATGTTTGTTATCTGGTGTAAGATCCACCAATTCCCATGTATGATTCCTCATGATGGATTTAATTTCAGAATCAATAGCTTCCTTCCAATAAGGAGCTTTGAGGGAGGACATAGGTTCTTCGAAACTTTGAGGATCATTTTCTAATAGATAACTTAGTAAATCATGACCAAATGACTTTGAAGTCTTTGTCCTATTGCTATGTCTAGGTTCATCTTCAATAAACTCCTCGTTTTGACCATTACTAGTTGTAGCCTCAATTGGTCTCTTTAATGAGCTTGATTCATGAGACATATTAAATGAAAAATTATTTTCAAAAAATGACGCATTCTTTGACTCTATAATTGTATTAATATGTATATCAAGAATCTCAAATTTATGAATAAGAAATTGATATGCACTACTGTTATGAGCATAACCAGTGAATACACAATCAATGATTTTTGGCCCTATCTTAACCTTATTAAGTTTCGAAATTGCCAATTTTGCTAGTCAGCCCCACACTTTTAATAATTTATAGGAAGATTTTCGACTTTTTCATAACTCATATGGTATCTTATTACTTTTATTATGAGGCACCTTGTTAAGAATATAATTAGCAAATAATAAGGTTTCCCCTCACAAATTTTGGGGTGTTCCCAAACTTGACAACATAGCATTCATCAGTTATTTCAAATTTTCGGTTTTCGCGTTCAGCTACGTCATTTGATTGCGGTGAACAGGGGCAATCGTTTGGTGAATAATTTCATGTGTTGCACAAAACTCCTCGAAAAGAGATTTATATTCACCACCCCTTTCACTTTTCGTGCTTATCTTTATACTTAGTTAATTCTCAACTTCATTCTTATAATGCTTGAACATATCAAGAGCTTCATCGTTACTTCTAATTAAGTAAACATAGTAGTATCTTGTGCAATTATCAATAAAAGTAACAAAATATTTTGTATCACCTCTTGTTTGCACAAGCTTTAAGTTATAAACATCATTGTGAATTAATTCAAGAGATTCGGTACTTCTTTCAATTGACTTGAAAGATGTTCTTACCAACTTTGATTCCATACAAGTCTTAAATTTATGATTTGGATCAATAGACATCTTAGGCAAATCATTCAAATTAACTAATCTTCTAATTGCATCATAATTAACATGTCCAAGTCTAGTATGTCGCATATTAGAAGACTCAAGCAAGTAAGAAGAATTCATCTTATTCTTATTATTAAAAGATGTGGATACAACGATCATTAAATTAAG